TTCAGCAACCTTACGGGCTACAGCAACCCTATAAGCAACCGTGACGTCGGTGTGGACTCACCCGCTGAATTTCCAGATCTTTGGATCAATATTGACAACGACATCGTTGACAAATCCTTGCTTCTTCTGCTCCTTGTCCAGTTTGTCAGGGGCGTTACCATTTTTCGCTGTTGTTACCGTCACGGCTTGCATTGACCGAGCAAGATCCGAAGGGATCACAAAATTGTGCATGACATCAGATGGGCGCACGACTTCCCAACGACACTCCATAGTTCGACACCGCAGGTACGGATCCTCCAGCTGAACGGGGTATTTTTCCATCATCACTAGAACTTCCTTTAGATTTGAAGTATACCTAGCCCACGCCACCAGTTCTTTAAGTAAAACTGTTAAGTGACTCGGGTAGGTATGAACTGCTAGTCGATTGGCCCCTCGAGCAAGCTTCAACTGTTTCAATTGAGTTCTCCCTTTGCCTCGTCGCACTGGTTTAGGCACACTGATAATGTCCACTTGTCGCTCTTGCACTTTTGTTTAGGATTCAGTGCGGGAGCACCGGTCGCTACAGTACCGCTTGCCTCAGCCGAACGTACAGTATCGTCTCGTCTTTCGTAATTCTCCGGAATGTGCTTGTTATCAGAGAGATCTTCGGTTTCATTTTCAAACATCTTCATTATGTCGATTGCCTCAATAGCTTCGGTAGGATCGATTCCACTGAAAACGTCACTCTCATTCTCCCAGTCAGTAGCGTGATCAGTGTCATGGGCAGTGTTCACCTTAGTCGTCCCGCCTTTCAGTCCCTCGTCAATTGTGTCTTTCCACGCACTTAGTTCTTGGTAAAACGCGGAACTTGACATGTTCGACAAATGCTCGAGGAGAGGTTCCATCATAGCCTTAGCGTAAGTATATTTCTCAGCCGATGAGAGGACAACATGTTTTGCGCGTTTATTGCGACGAAGTCGAACGTACACCACCTGTTTGACTGGAGAAGAACCACCCTTCTGGTGTTGATAGGGCAACCCTTCCGGCAACCCTTCCGGCAACCCTTCCGGCAACCCTTCCAGCGACCCTTTCGGCGACTTTAGCTTGGACATCTGCACAATTGGCTCCAGCAAGGCTGCCGCGGAGGCTAACTCCTCTTGTATATCCAGCGCAGACGTCATACTCCATCGCTCTTTAACTGCAGCGGCGGGAAGTGCCTCCAGTTCATGCTCTGTAGAGGCCAACCGCATCAGATGCCGGCAAGGCAGATTATGACTCGAGTAAAATAGGCATGAGTACGTCCATTTTACGCTGTCACAGTTGTGTGTTTCGTTGTAGCAGTGAACTTTCCATCGCGAAACACTAGACGTAATTCGTTCGCATTTGGCGTTGGCCATGAGAGTCACGAAACGCTCCCACTCTCTTGTCACTTTCAGTAACAAACCAGAAGAAAGTCTTGTAGCAACACCTCTCAAAAAGGGGGTGACAGATTTCGGCAAGCGTGTGGACGAGCAATGCTGCCTAACAGTACGGATGATTTGATGCGCCACAGTGACTTGATGCTGAAGTAGTCCCGCGATTGTCTTGTCGATCCGCGTTTTGTGTCCCAGAAGCATTTTTACTTGATTCCAATTCGATTCCACACGGTTTGTAGTAGTATTGCCGGCTGTAAAAAAATTGCCACGAGAAAAGTTGGACCACATATCTCGGCACGAGTGCCAGTTCTTCTCGAAATAGGCGAAAATGGTTATGCCTTTGTTGTCGTCACAGTACCGCTTCAACGCCTCGTATCGCGAGTCGTAATCAGTCTCCGAATTGCTATGAACATACAAGTAAGTCAGGTTGTTATATATAAAAAGCAGTATGTGGCGTACCTATACAACAGTCTACACATCAGCATAATGAGGTTATCTCGTTGAGATACCGTCAACCGAAAACTAGATCTCCGCATCACCTTCTTCCAATATGTTATTGCGTGAAACTGGCACAGCAAAATTTTTGCGTCTGGAAATGTATCTTTGAGTACACGCCATTCCACAAAATCCTTGTCGATCACAACTGATGTGATACCCCTCCACCCTGGATTTTTATCCTTAAATATTTTAGGATCGTTGAAATGGTCACGGCCTGTTCATCCAGACAGATGAAGTCAAAAACTGGAAACCCCCTACCAGTAGCAGTAGTGACCACAAGACTGCCTGTACACACAAAACGATGTTTCTCGTTAGAAACTGAAGCTGCTCCAGGGTTGCCCTACTGGTGTTGCTGTAGGGTTGCCCAAAGGTCGCTGTAATACTACGTACCCAAGTGATAGCCCAGATTATTGGTGCCGTGTGTGAAATCCATAGCAAGTGTCTCGCCCCATAACTCGAATATTCGCTTCTGTAGCTTCGTTTGCATCACTATTCCGCATGTGACATCCATCTGGTCTTGGATGACAAGTACGTCACTTCCGTCTAGCTGGTTCAACGCGTGAAGCATGTTTTTCAAACGATCCTCCGCTGAATCCCGCCCAATAATATTGCGCAAGAGGTTGCGAGTTTGCTGAGGGGTGATTCTACATCCTATACGCGGAAAAATAATTTTAATTGATATTATGCCAGGAAATAGACCTTAAAAATTATGGATTCTTACCAATACGGTCGCTCAGATAATTCGAAATTTGCGTGGAAGACGTTCGGGCGTCCGCAAGGGTCTTCACATCCTCAAGGTCTTGCTCGTCAATTGGAATCGTTTTACTTGTCAAATACAAAGCAGCTTCAACACGAGTAGTTACATGGGAGTGTGTATGATTCTGCAAGAAAGGCAGCTGTCAGTTGTTTTAAGTAAAGTATAAAACGAAATTATATAGAGCAACTCACCTCATTTCTGATGACAATTTGAAATGTTCCGTCATCCATAAGCATCACGGTGGGTGTGAAGCGCGCCAAGCACCCACAGAACCGTGGTTTGCGTGTGCGCTGCCCAGTAGATCGAGAATGCTGAGAAACGCCATGAGTGCACCGAAAAACCCTATGGTGCCAGCCGAAAGTTAAAGGTATCTCGTCTGTGTGACTCCTACAAATTAAGGTTAGGCGACCATTAGATAAATTACATAGCATAAAAAAAACATAATACACACCGGTTATACGTTTCAGCCGACTCAGAACTGCGAACTCGAAAGTGCAGGTTGTTTGATTTTGTGTAGGACGCTAGTAAAGTGTCGAATTTACCCCATGTCTTGATTGTCACTTTTGGAAAGGGAGCAACGACGTTTTCAATCGTCTGGCCCTGCTCCGACATAGACGCAAGCTCAGCAAGATGATTGCTACTCCGTTTTCGTGGCGTGTATCCATCACGGTCGCCGTCGCTACTGCCAATACTTTCTGCTTGTCCGACACATTCCGCAATAGATGGAGCGGAAGCTGCATTATCCTGGGAGGCACGTGACCGTTTTGTACCTTTGGCTTTTATTGGGTTGCTACCTGCAAAGATGCGTACAATACATTTTATATGACAATATTTAGATATATCATTACCACTGACGACCGATATATCATTACCATTGACGACAGAATAGATCCAATGAGCGCACCCTTATTTTCCTCTTCCTCCTTTTTGTTCACTTCTACCAGTTTGTTCTCCTCTCCAGATACATCTTCATCCTTATGTCCAGTATTCTCTCCACACTTCACACCTGTTAGTATGTCACATATATATACATATAGTTATGATAAGTAGCAATAATTTAAGGTCAACTTGCACAGCTTACCCCGTTCTAGGCTCTGGATGTCGACATCGATATCTTCATCATCAGGTTTGTAATCTTCATCGCTGGAATGGTCCTTCTCTATACCCAGTGTAAGTTGAGCGTAGTGTGGTCGTGAGCTGTTAGTTGACTTGCTACACAAACGTCGCCCTTCGACATACAAACAGATCCATTTTACTATATAGCGTAGTATAGCTTCTTTCTTCTGTTATTAAAATGCGTACCGGACATGACGCCTGATGTCGCGTTTCTCGTGGGTGACTGGAGAGTCCCTGAAGCCGTCGTGAACTTCCTCCGTCCTTCTCCCGCTGCGCCACTCTGCGTGCGCTGTCGAAATGGGAGGCTATGAATGAAGCGTACTTAAAATGACTTTTACTGTAATTGCGTACTTATACAAACAAAACGAACTTACGAGTTTCTGATTGTAATTTTCAGCGGAAATTTTTAAATTCGTCTAAAGCAACCATAAGCTACAAAAGCAATCTTACATGTCTCACAGTTAAGGTTGCGGTAACCACTCCGGTCTATTCTACTGATCTGGATTCATAAAACAGCTCTATGCACCACTTTTTTCCCGATATGTAGCAGATCTTCCCGCTGTACTTTCTAATGTGGGACAACTTACGACATACAGTGTTTTCTGCTAGCTACTAAGTAGTATAACTTACGACTTCTGAGAGAGCAACCTGTCAAAAACTTATACACCTATACGCACGTCGAACATATGCCACATACAAACAAGTAGTGACATGGACATGTCGTAAGTTACGACATTATTTATCTCGTTTTCGATACACTTCGCCGGGAACCAAGGGGTTCAATAAATGAAATCACCCCCCCCCCGCACCAATTATTTTGCATTTACATTTTGATTTCTGCACACCCTTAGTTTAGCTAGATTTAAAGGAATTAACTGTAAGTCTAGTCTGTTATCTAAAACTTCGCAGAGTTCTACAAGTGTGCATGTACTGTAGACGCCCACGATGTTCTATTAGCACAAAACATAGTTTGCTGCTGTAAATTGTGCCCACCAACTGTAAACTTCCTCGACAATTGTGATTAACCAGTTTACGAGGTCTGTAGATTTGCCTACAGTGAGATTGTGGACTTCACATAGGCAGCCTAACCGCGGAAGCTCCAATGTTCTCTCTGAAAGTTGCGCATGTGTACATGTGCAAACAACTTACAATGAACGATCATATCAAATAGAATCTTGACCTCAACAGATCATCATTTTTCGACGTAGGTCGGACGTTCACTACCACCAGCAGCTCTACTCCATCTCGATCTTCTTGATGAACTTCGCCGGGTTGCCAGCATACACGCACATAGGAGGCACGTTCTTGGTCACGACACTGCCAGCTCCAATCACAGCCCCACGGCCGATCGTTACTCCAGGCACAACCACCACGCTGCCTCCGATCCAAACATCATCTCCAATTGTGATTGGCTTGGTCCGCTCGTACCCAGTAGCTCGTATCTTCGGTTCCAACGGGTGTGTAGCCGTGTAAAGCTGCACGTTAGGAGCAAGCATAACCCGGCTGCCAATTGTGATCTCACCTTCATCGAGAAGGATACAGTTGGAGTTCATATACACATTGTCCCCCAGTCGCGTGTTTGATCCACAGTCGCAGCGAAACGGCATCTCGATGACACAGTCGCGACCTTTGGCGCCTAACATCTTGGTGAGAATCTCCTGGGCCTCGGAGCTCTCAGCGCTGTCGAGCTTGTTGTACTTGTTGATCAACTTGCGGGTCTCTTGTCGCTCCTTGAGTAGACCCGGATGCATGGGGTTGTAAAGCTCACCGCGTAGCATCTTCTCTCTCTCAGTCTCCAACGTACTTAGCGTACCCGTTGAATTAACGGAACAGCAACAAACACATGCTGACCATCGTGGACTATGCGTCGAGTTTTAATCGCGTGTATTTGCTGCAGACAAAAGGTGAAGCTGCCAAGAAACTTATGGAATTTATAACCGAGTTCGAACGACAGCGAAATCAACATGTAAAAGTTATCAGGTCTGACGGCGGTGGAGAATTCCCTGAGCCATGAAACCAGGGCGTTTTGCAAGCGAGACGGCCTCAAAACGCAGTTAACGCTACCCTGAACGTTCGGGCATCAATTGCCAAAGTCGTACGGACGCACAGGGACGGCTCATGAAACTCCGAACGTGCGAAGGCTGGAGCTGGAAATTCTGCTAGACCGTTTATTGGGGAAACGCAGGCAAAAACACAGTTGGACTGGGACAGACAACATTCGTCTCCTAAAAAGCCGCAGCCCATCAAGGGGACTTTGCCGAAAAAAAGCGGGTAGCCGACCGGCATAAACGAG